TGTGTGTGTGTGTGTGTGCGTGTGTGCGTGTGTGCATGCGCGAGCGCGCGTTTGCGTGTTTAGGAAAGGGTTCCTGCAGGGTGCAACAGTGATCTCTAGTGGCCATGTGGGGGGTTGAATAAAATTAGGAATATAAGGATCGATGTTTTTTTAACTCTCAAATTGGGAATACAGATTGTAACAAATGCGCTAATGACATCATTTAACAGAATTTATCCACATTAAACAGTTTCAGCCACATTTTTGCTTCAGTTCCATGGACATTTTGCTGCTCCTTCAGCCAACTGGGACAGTATAATATCGACATATGGATATAACGTACGTGGAGAGTCTCAGATCCTCACTAGGCTGCAGCATTATTAGTGGTTCTTCCAACCAGTCAGAGACTAAGAGCCAACTTTTTTACTGTGTTCCTGCAAAGAGCCATAACACACACACACACACACACACACACACACACACACACACACACACGACCTGCAGTGGTTACTTACTACTTGGGTCAGCTTGCTACATATTTGACCGAAGATCGACTTTTGAAGCGACGAACTTCCCGCGATCGACCCGATCGCGCACGTATATTTGACCGAAGATCGACTTTTGAAGCGACGAACTTCACGCGATCGACCCGATCGCGCACGTGCAAGCATATACACACACACACACACACACACACACGCGTGCACACACGCGGGCGCCCAACCACGCACACGTGCGCATACGCAAGCAAGCAGGCAGCACACGTGCGCATACGCAAGCAAGCAGGCACGCCGAGATGAGCGACAGCCGTTACGTCACCGAACATGAACGAAATCGAAACATACAGACACACAAAGTTTTTTTCGCCCCCATTTCCTCCTCCCAACGCTCGCGCTCGACTTGGGATCAGTCCGCTGGCTCTCGGTCGATCACGATTAACGTATTGGGCACCCCTGCCTTAAAATCGGAGGTAATTTGCTGAGTTTAGCGCTGAGCACCGTTGTTTGAGCATGAGCGGTGATTCAGTTGTTATCTGATTGGTTGCCCTGTATGTCAGTCAAGTAACAGGATTGTTGATAGGCTGACGTAGCTAGTTCTGTGTATTTAGCACCGTGGTTTGAATGGCAGCGCCACCGCCGAGGCGTTTTCGACACTTGTCATTTGAAAGCCCGGGAACCGCATTGAGCCAGCCAAAGAGCCGCATGTGGCTTGCGAGCCGCGGGTTGGCCATCTCTGGTTAAGACGATCTGTCTACATGTGGTGCTCCTTCATTTGTGTTGAAATATCCATTACGTAAATGGTTATAACACTGCAACACTGACTCATTATGTGTGTGCTGTCAGCTACATCTTTTATAATAATCATGCTATAAGTTGAGTTTGAAATGATGTTCAGTTATATTTGAATATTTAAATGTTATGTTTTTTTACCATTCAAACGATTAATATAGGCAATTAGAGATATTTTTACGAGGGGTGTAATTAGCAACATGGCTTGGTCCCTCGTATAGTGTAGGGAAGATAAATAAATTCCCCTTCCAAAATGTAACCATCATTGAATGGTAATTAACTGTAGAGGCAACATTTTAAGTGTGTTTTTCCCACATGTGACTTAACAACAGGGCTTGACAAATATCCAAAGCCACTCTCAAGCTACGAAGTCATAAACGCAATCATCTACAAACCCTACAGGTGTGACACATAATGTCAAAGCCAAAAGATAAGCAGAGCTGCATTGGATTTTTTGGGGAGCTGCAGATCTGCGTTAGGTAACAGTGTTAGTTTCTGATAAGCGGCACTTTCTTGATTGCTTGGCAAAGTTGTCGACGTGGCAGTGGTCGGGGGAGGACTTGTCTTTGGTGTTGTCAGCGTGCCTGTGCTCTAGGCACACAGTGTAGTGTATGAAGTGCTGCCTCCATGAATGAAAGAGCTTTTCGTCTTCAAAGTAGCTCACTTAATGCCCTCGCCCATCCACACACACACACACACACACACACACACACACACACACTCACAGTCTCGACTGTGAAAGTAAACGCAGTTTCAGTCCATTTCCTGTTCTATGGTTATCATCATGTTTCCCCCTACAAAAGATTTCCAGAATTAAAGGTAATTACAAAAAAAATATGCTAATGAGCCAGTAGTTACAAATGGCATGGGCCCATTCAAAGTCTCGGTCTTACTGCCTCCACTAGCACCAAGGCTAACTCTTAACGAGATGAGTAGTCAAGTCGGCAGCGATAATTAGCCAGCAATTAACACGCCGCCAAGTCCCGCACTCGCCACCAGCTGTTGTCATTAGAGGAGTTTTTGGCAGTCGGCGGGTGGGGGTTCCAGAGGAAGGTTGACAGGCCTCCTCATGGGAACAGATGGCGAACAGGGTGAGCTTGTTGGCAATCAGCACGTTTTTGAGCTAATGACTTAATTAGCTATGCAAATGGACACATCAGTGTGGATATTGTCATTTAGTTGAAAAGCTCACCTAAATTAATTAGCCCGATTAAGGCATAGCTGGGTGGAAAAAGGGTTGTTTGGATGTTCATTTTTTTGGGTGACTTTGATAAATCAAGTGAGAAACACACTGGGCAAGTGGTCAGCACTTCGGCCTCATGGTTTTAAGGTTTGGGGTTTGAATCTCAGCTCCGGCCTCTGCCCTTTGTGGAGTTTGCGTGTCCTCCTTGGAGTACGACGACTTCCTCCCACATTCCAAAATCAGGCAGGTTAGGTTCACTGGATGCTAACTTGTTCATTGGTTTAAATGCAAGTGTGAGTGATTGTTTGTCTAGATCGTCACAGTCAAGCTCTGAAATGACCCCAACAACGCCAACTTGCTTGAGTCATCAAACATCAACTCATTCAAGTTGGTATTTTATATTCTATACTATTGTGCACCATCATCAACACAAAATCAACATCCCTATATCATGTTCAGTGGCTAATTTAATTCCCTAAAAAAATGATAATTTATTACACTGTCATGGCCAAGGCCAGCCATCCACATCAAAATCTGCTCTCACTCCAACCCCCCTGACCAGAGAAAATTCCATGAATGCTTTACAACAGCAAACCTTAAATCATCTTTACAATCACTTTTTCAAAGGTCTTGTAGCCATGAGTGATGCAATAACTAAAACAATTAGTTAACAACTAAGTAGTGTAATAGGCAGAAAAGAATCTGCATGCAAACATATTCGTGGCTGACCAGTTCTGTCTGCACGCAATTATCCATATTTTTTAAAAAAACAGCCTTCTTCAAATGTATGCAATCGAAATATTTTCACTTATTGTCTAAAAATGTGATTGTCTGACAACCAGTTCAGGGTGTACGTCGCCTACTGCCTGAAGACAGCTGGAATAGGCTCCAGTGCACCCGCAACCCCTGTGAGGATAAACCGATTAGAAAATGGATAGATATTGTCTAAAAAAAAAAGTACATCCATGCTTTCAGACTTGAGCCGACATAATGCTACATGGCTCCCCAGAGTGTGGCAAGAGACAGTTAGTGGATTTATTGTGAAGCGATTTTCAACACCGTAAATGGGTTAAGCGGCACGATGGTCGACTGATTTGGATGTCCGCCTCACAGTGCAGAGATCGTGAGTTTGATTCCTGGCCCAACCTTCCTGTGTGGAGTTTGCATGTTCTCCCCGTGCCTGCGTTGGTTTTCTCTGGGTACTACATTCCAAAAACATGCGTTTCAGTTTGATGGATCACTCTAAATTGCCCTTCGGTGTGATTGTGATTGTGAATAGCTGTGTGTCTATATGTGCCCTGTGATTGGCTGGCAACCAGTTCAGGGTGTACCTCGCCTACCGACAGCTGGAATCGGGTCCAGCACACACACATGACCCTCATGCGGTTCCGATAATGGATGGATGGATAATTGGGTTAATATTCCATAAAAATAACGGACGATAAGTAATTGACTATATTAGAAAATAGGGTATTTTCTGCCCAACAACGACAATGTGTGTGCTGGTGACCAGCCCAGAGTGCACCTCAGCTGTTGTCCAGGGTCAGCTGGGATAGGCTACAGCTCACCCGATAAGATTAAGCAGTACTGGAAATGGTTCGTGATAATTAAAGTATGTGTATATCTGCATTCCGGTGCTTTTTGTTTGTCTCTATTTGTGCTGTTATGATATGATTGCATTGGTAAGCAAATCTTGCACTGTGTACATATTTGTCCAATGTATGTGTGTTATTGTAGTGCAACGAGCCAGGCAGCGTTGACACACATGACCACTGAAGCGTGCGCTCCATTTAGTGGTCCTGCTTCCACCCAGGTTTCAGTAGGGGGCCGAAGTTTGTGATGATTTTGGGAGTTTTTGATCCAATTGAATTTTAAAGGGGACATTTTAGATAATGGACTTTTGATTTGCTCTTATATAAATATTTGGGTCTCTGTGGCACCTGTTCTCCCATCAAATTGAAATCAAACAACCAAATAATTTTTTTATGTTTTATATTTAACCCCAAGTTATGATTTTGAGTTGGTTGTTTGCCATTCAAACAGTCTAGTGGGCGAGGAGAGTGCATATAAATCATATTGTTTGCCTATGGGGGACATAGCTGTTTGCCCGCTGTACCACCTGTGTAGTGGAAATTTTATACTCTACTGTGTTAATTTGTATCGCATCCTGCTATCTGTAAGTGTTGCTATCCAAGTTCGTTGCTGTGCAAGTTTGTGGTTTTCCTGTGCTTCACACATGTAGATGCAAAACAGGATGAGCTGCAAACAGATGTCAAGACAGGGGCATTCTCCCCTTTCTTTTACTCTTGTTTTTTTTTCTTTTTTTTAATACGCCTAACCAATGACAATTAAGTACTGTACACCATAACCATATTGATAATATGTTGAGAGTTCGTTTAACACTTTAACCCAGGGGCGTCAAACTCATTTTTGTCGTAGTTATGGTTTCCCTTGGAGGGTCGTTATGACTGTGAAATTTTGTGAAACCATAACAATGTTTAATCACCTCCACATATTACATACACAGCACACAATGAATTGGTGGATAGGTGGTTTTTAAATCAGAAATCAAGAATAATGACTTTAAGCAGTGTTTACATTAATGTAGTAAGGGGGTTGGAAACAAGAAAATGCTTGCAAAATCTCCATGTTATTATGGATTACATATGACAATTTGAAAATTGGGTTCAGACTTTAGCAAGCATCATGGAAGTTGACATGCGTGATTTGCTTTCGCGGGCCACATATAATGATGTGAGGGGCCAGATCTGACCCCGGGCCTTGACTTTGACATGTGTGATTTAACTAGTCCCAAGAAGAAAAAAATGGTATAAGTGGGGCCGCACCCCACTGCTTGGGGAGTCGCTCCATCACAGATCTGTAAATGGTGTTTCTCCATCGACTGTAGCTGAAATAAATCTCATCGTTGTACAAAGACTTTCGTTGTCTTGGTGACACCAGATTCGGCAGATGGTGCTGTTTCCTTCATATGTGTGTGACCAAAACAGCATGTGAAGCAACAAAGGGGCTATGTATCAGAGGAGCTGTTTTAAAAAGATCAAGAAAATGATTATGTTATGTACTACTTGCTACAAGTGGACGCACAGGTTACTGTATTTGCAAATTCTGCCATCTAGTGGTAGAGCATTTATTCTCTTGTCTTCATGCTATGTTGCAAGTATAGATAGATGAACAAAGATTCAGTAAACTATTCGCAAGGGACAAGGCCTGAGTCCTGATGCCTATAGAGAGAAAAATAAACAAACTGCAAGTGACACCCTTCCAATTTTTGGAGAATTGACACTTGCCAGTATTCATCCATCCATTATCTGAACCGCTTTATCCTCGCGAGGGTCGAGGGGGTGCTGGAGCTTATCCCAGCTGACTTTGGGCAGTTGGCGGGGTGTCCCCTGAACTAGTTTCCAGCCAATCACAGCCAAAGCGAGTATTATTTGATCTCAGAACACTTGGTCATCTAATTATCAAATTTAAGATTTGAATAATATACTACCACCGTATGTTTGTACGGCGTGTCATTCAAAATCCTCCAATATTTTTGGCTGACTCACTCCTAATGCACTTCAAACGAACTGTCAACAGTTCTTGTGAGGGGGAAAAAAAAAAACAGTTTGTGTACTATTGAGATCCTTGTTATAGTGGCGATTAATGTTGAAGTCTTTCATGGCTGATAGTGTCTCCAAGCAAACTAAGCAGATAGTTTTGCATTTAAATTTGGTGAACATTAAATGTGGTTCCTATTCCTTTTTATAAAGAGACCCATTTTCTTGATCTAATTTGGTCCTTGCTGCTAGCCAGGACATGCTATTTTCCTCTCTGATGCAGAAGTACAGTCTTGGGATTGGATGCGCTCTTGAGAAATATCTGTTGGTGAACAATTTTATTCCATCTTAAAACTGATCAACTGCAAACATTGTTTTTCAAAAATGATTGAGGGCCACTCCCAAGTGTGGGCGCAGCCGCCAGTTGACTATACCTGATCCAGATGTATTACTCCGGCATGCTTGGCACCAATTTGCGGGGATTTTGGCACCATTGTGGCATCGTAGTGTGTTACAGAAAGTATATAAATATGTAAAATGCAGAATTTTATCAAACAAATTCACAGAAAAAAAAGCACATTTTTTAATAGCATACCACAAACAAATGTGGTTTCACCTTACGTCTCTGATGATTGGCACAATGGTTGGGAAACACTGGTCTGAGAGATGAAAATAGGACGCATACGTGATGGAACAAGCTCAATCCCTCTTCTTTCTGTCATTTCCAGGACGTGATGGTGGTGGGCGAGCCCACGCTGATGGGCGGCGAGTTCGGTGACGAAGATGAGCGTCTGATCACGCGCCTTGAGAACACGCAGTACGACGCCACCAACGGTCTGGACGATGACGACGACTTCACCAGCTCGCCGGCGCTGACCAACAACGGGCCGTGGAGCAGCAAGGCGCCCAATGGTGGGCCTGATGGCAAAGCGGAGAACACGGCGCCGCAGGCCTCGCAGTAGGAGCAGCACTTGCGGAACAATGACAGCAGTAATAGCCACCGCGACCGGATTAAAAAACAACAACAACAAAACAAAAAAAAAAACCTGTAAATGTTACAAAACAATAGCAAGGTGTGGACTTGTTTTGGGGAAAAGAGAAGCTTTCAGTGGACTATCGCCGCTGTGATTGGTGGACAAGAGTCACATGACATCACACAGCGGCACTTGAGGAATCTGTTTTGTTGTTTTTAAAAAGAACCAGCTTACATTGTTTGAGGCTACTGCCGATACTCTCTTGCTTTTTTCTGTTTCAAATTAGCAAGAAATAAAAGTCCCTTTGTTTTGGTTTTAGGCAGTGCAGTGGTTGAGTGGGTAATACAGCCAGTTTTGAGGTTTCGATTCAAATCTTGAATCTTGGGTTTCTCATACATCCCAAAAACGTGCATGTTAGTTTCTTTGAACATTAAATTAACCATAGGTGTGAATGATTGTCTAAATGTGCTCTGTAATTGGCCAAGAACCAGTGCAGAGTGTATCCCACCTTTCAGCCGGGGTAGGCTCCAGCTCACCCAACAATATGGCAAAGGGATCACCCCCACACACTGGTTACCACCATTTCCATTCAAAGCGGTTGGATTCGGCCTCCCGCTCTGTGATTTTGTTAATTTAAAAAAAAACGAAAACGACTGTTTTTGCTTTAATTTTCCCAAACTGCATGATTTTATAGGGTTTCCTCAATTTTTTGGGTTAATTTCATATATGTGCTTTATAAAAAAAAAAAAACACATGCACACAACAATCTGATTGTCCTCTATCCATTTGGGAAGGTTTGTAAGTGTAAATAGAAGTCTATTTTGTCCATGAGCCACAGAAAGCATTTTGGAAACGGCAGCTGTTTTGTTTTCTACGGGAGGTTCCATATTTGTCCAGGGTGTTCAAAATTCCCCCGGTGCCCCTAGCCCCTACTATCCTCTTTTAGCTAGTGCACAACCAAAGCAACAATTTAACACATTTGCATTTCTTGTATATTTGGTGACGACACAGGTGCAGATCAAAATGAAGCCACCCTGCAGAAATGCTGCGCCGTCCCTTTAATTGTGTTCACAAGCTTCATTTGAGTCTCTACTACTTGATTTACTCTGCCTCCAAAAGTTGTGATTTCTCTGCCTTATTTTCTGTAAAGTTTATTATCCGAGCCGAAACAGAGATGTGTAAGGGGATTCCATTAAGCCACGAAGTTCAACACCTATGTCTCCCACCTGGTTGTGTTAAAAACAGTCAGAAATGTGATGTCACACTTCCCGCCTTTGCTAGGTCCCATTTCAAAACCAGTTAGGAAATTTTTGCGGGATCTCTGTGTGAAGGAAGAAACAATGAGGCTACCCTTTCATGCAGCCTGTCAAAAGCTGAATCTTTCCTCGTTTTTTTTTCGATGTCTCTGTTCTATAAAAATGTAAGAATGACAGAATGAAATGGCGATTTGCCATGAATGCAAGTAAAATCAGGGCCATAACAGAGATGGGACAACAGCGGCCTGTTAAGGAATTCACAACTTACCTGACAATATGCCACCTTTGCTAGGTTCTGTGTAAAAGGCAAAGACAGATCTGTTACGGCTCTGAATTCACAACTGACCTGACAATATGCCACCTTTGCTGAGTTGTGTGTGAAAGGCAAAGGCAGATGTGTTACGGCTCTGATCTCTGTCATCTGAGACAGGAAACACAGGCAAAATCTCACCTTTGCTCAGTTCTGACTAAACACCAAAGGGGGATAAATGTCAGTTTGTTCCTTGTGCTTAAGCTCTGATGATGAAATTTTGCAGGGTCTTTGTGTAAAAAGGGGCTGCACTGAAGCTAACCTTGTGAACCAGTTGCCCTTTTTACACTGATTGCGAAAAGCTGATATTTTTTTCTCAACAACATCAAATAAAGGCAGATACTTGACAGATTGCAAGACACCGCAGACAACAGCGGCAATAAGATATTGCGTTGCTGTTACGGCTCAAATTTGGTCGTTTTTTGCAGGCTCTCTGTGTGAATGTAGGCTTCTCGGTTGAACTTTTCCCAAGAAGACAAAAGGCGCATGTCTTCACACGACTGCTTATTTATTTGTGCAATCTTTTTGTAAGGAAGCAAAACACACACATTTCTGAATATGTTTGAGGCTAGTATTATTAGACACCGTTTGTACTATATATAGCAGAGGTGTTCCGTGTCATATCTGATGTCTGGTATGTATGCTTTACCATTAACTTGTGCCAATAAAACCGTGCTTACAAATAATATAAAAGGGTGACTTCTTCTAAGCGAATAAGGATGCTTAATAAGGTGGAAAATCAACTTGCAACTAAATTGGAAACGATTCTCCTGGAGATTATGTTGATTAGCAGCATCTCAAGGATAGGTTTATGGCTTTTAACAATGTTATGTGGCTATTTTCTAGCTTTTAAAAGTGGTGATTGGGGTAAATGCCAGAATGAGAAACCAATATGGGAGTGAATTTAAGATTGCCATCATTGGATTCATTAAGGGAGGGAGGAGGGATGGGGGGCGTACTCGTATTTTCATATTTAAATGGCAATAACCTACACAACACCACAACACGTGGACACTTCTGGAATTGACTTGCAAGATGACTCGGTGGATCTTGAGCGACACCAAGAAGCTCACGCTGGGTACTGCAAAAACATTCTCATTACATTAATATAATTTTGCTTGTTTAATGTTATGAAAACGCACAAATTTGAATAGTTTTCTATTTTTTAACAAAATCAACGAGTACACAATAACAGCAATACTAAGTGTGGAAAGTATAGTTTTAATAACTCGTGAACAGAACCCTGTGGATTCTCTTTAAATTATTAATTTAAATAGAAAAAAAATAAAAATATTGTTGAAGCCTAAGGGAACGAAATGCTAAAAAATATTAAACGTTTGTCATTTCCCCAAGAAGGTTGATATGAAATATTAACATAAAAATAAAAACTAATACTGTATAATCTAATACTACACTTTGTAAATTTGCATATACTGTACAATATAAGATGATGTCTCTTCAAGTAAAGTCGTCGTGACATGTTTTTTTCCACAAACTTCATTATTACAAGAAAGGTATCAGACATTAAAGTAAAACACGTGTGCATTGCAATAACAAATTCAGAAAAAATTATAGATAAAAAATATATTGATCAATAAGATATCACATGTTGAATGTTTAAATGTAAAGAATAAATATAACCAAAGTCGTAGTCGTAAAATGGTAACAGTTTAAAAAACTTTATTTAATCGACTGATTTACATAATGATAATGTACAACATATGGCTTGAGGGCTGTAAAACAGACAATAAAATCAAAAGATATCAAAACTACTGATTTAGCAAAACACATATTTACACCTAAAGAATAAAACAAATAACCAACGAGCGTTAAAGATTTACGTCGCGTCCTGCAGTGTTTACATTGGTCGACGTCAGTTTTATGACGTCAAAACGGTGCGACACAGAAAAGTCTGGTCCCACAGTAAAGATGGCCGACCCGCCTGGGACCGAGCTGTCAGACGACAAAGAGAAAGAAGCGGACACTGAGCGCAAAAACAAGCAACATCCGCGACCGTGGCAAGATGGGAGCAAGTCGGGAAAAGTCGTTATTTCTTCGACACTGCCCGAGACCTTGGGCTTTTACGACATTAGCGCTGAAATCAGGCGCGAGCCAAGGGACCACTCGGCAGGTAAACGTCGCACACCCCCATTATTGTTATTTTAACCACTGCAACACCAAAACCATAGCATTTCACATTTATCCATGCTCCTTAAATATTTAACGATTTAAGTGATCAAAACTTTAAGGGCTTAGGGGCTGTCGAATTGGGACGTTTAGACCTGAATGCTCATTTGATAAAACTAAATGTTGAAGAAAAACAAATCGTTATGGTAGTCCGTGAACGCACCGTGAAACTAAATTTAAACTCGTCACGGCGAAACACGAAATTCTGAGTGACAAAAACCGGGGCGTCCTCTTCCACCACAATCAACCTTCCTTTCCAAACCAGAGCAATTGAGAAAAGAGGGTAGATGGCTTGAATGATGCCCTTATTTTTAGCTGTGTGTGTTTCAATGCGTTGCATGATTGCACTGTGGTTGAGAGAGGAAAGTAATTTAATCTGTGCTGTGTGGTGCACATGGAGCATATTTGACAATACAGCTTGACTTGACTTGATGATGATTTTATTTTTCTTCCGCGTCACCAATTAATGGTCTGTTTTCATTGATCAAGGATCTCTGCTTTGAGTTAAGATGAAATCGACTGACATTTATGCCAAATTCCCCAAGGGGGCGAAGTCAGGCGGCGACTAAAAGCAGCAATGAGTGTCAACCTCTAATGCGAAATGATTCACGTTCACTTCCGTGGTTTTTACTTATTGTAGTAATTATTTATTTACAACAAATTGTCAATCTGTACTACTGACGTGTAATAACAGGTAGAACAAAATGGCTGATTTTTCTTGCCATTTTTTCCTCCCTGTTGTATAATTATATAAAAAAAAACCAACAAAATGGCCAAAGTAGTGAGAAATAGTCAAATGTGCTGTTTATAATTCATATCTAACTCTTGTAAACTTGTAAACTAAAGTACCAGAAAAGTTGTGTTTTTCATGGTATATATATATTTATGAGGAATCGTCGAAATAACCGTTCATCAGAATTTAAATCATCTTATCTGAATAAGCATCAGCCTTAAAAAAAAAAAAAATCCATTGTCTCTTGGGCCCTACTTCATACAAGCCGGCCGGATTCAACTGTATCACAGTTCTGCATGTTTGTAAAGATAACGAGAATGACAACACTCTCTCAATTGTCATTGTGAAACCTTCTGTGTATGAATAGCTATTGTTGTCACAATAGTAGACATTACAATGAGGGATGTGTTCATTCCAGATTCATCACTGACCCGCTTCATCTGCACGGAGCTGACCCGTGGCTACTTCCTGGAGCACAATGAGGCCAAGTACACCGAGCGTCGGGAGAGGGTATACACGTGCATGCGCATCCCCAAAGAGTTGGAAAAGGTAGTCCCCCCAGCGCCTACACACACACACCCCCGCCATCGCGAAAAAAATGGAAAAAAACAATGAACCCAAAATTAATTCACCTCGTGTCCACACTCGTAACTTAAAACACTCATAACTTTAATCATCTCTGCTTGTTAAAATGAATGGAATTGCAATTAATCCATTCCAGCTCGTCCCGAAAAAAAGGAAAAACAAACAAAATTTGGTTTTGTTTTTTTAAACGTTCCACTCACAAAGTTGCACTCAGACTATTTTGTATTTTATAAAACCACACAGTAATAACCTTTCCTCTCTACATAACCTGCAAACACGGAAAATGCAGGCACAAAACTTGACGGTACTTAATGTATTGGCCTTCCTTCTTTTTCTGTGGTGTCTTTTGGAAGTTGGCAAACACGCTTAATGTGCAATACTGTCACCAACTGATTTTGTACTTCCATACCAAGGAAACCAATATGAATTGATGGTGGCTTGATGTAAGTTTGCTGTCATCATCTAATGGTGGGGGTCCAAAGCACACAACGTCGTAATCTTAGCTGCAAGCTGAATTATTGCTGTATTTGTGAGCTCAACGCCATGATGCCGTCTGTGCCAAATGAGATAAGAGGACCCGGCTGGTCAATACAAGGCGCGTGCCGGGGATGACATTTTCATCCGTTACTGGGCTTGGTCAAAACAAAAGTTTGTTAGGCGTGCACAAGTTGCTGCAGCGCCCAATCAGCGCAAAGTATTGTACTGAATGGCCCGCCTTTCCTAAGCAGATCACATTGGAGCAGTCCCAGAGTGATACTGCGGATAACTCTTTTGAGTGATTCACACATCAATCTGGTTCTTGACGAGTATAGCTGAGCTCTGCTTGTGTCTTCAGTTAAAAAAAAAAAAAAGTGTCGTTTCTTGAAAAACTTCTGACTCAAGGCACTCACATCTCCAGGCACCACTTAAGATAGTAAGATCAGCTCTAGTTTTAACTGTATTGACAATATGTTCATTATGAATGAATTCAGTTAAAATAGTTTGCTATTTCTGTCCTGAGGCACCAGATGGCAGTCTGGAGAATAGCTCCGACTTCCGCACCATTCCCTGCTGGACTACGATGAGGCCGGAGAGGAATGTGTCTAAACATAGTAGAACTCTGTACATTCACTGTGTCAAACAGCTTGACCCACACATTAATTTATTTATCTTCCGAGTGTGTCTTTCTATAAACATATCTCCTATTTGCTCGATGAAACTGACACAGACTCCATCATTGTTGTCCATCTTTACTTGGCTCACAACTCCCGAGGTCGAAACATTGCGACTTAGTTTTATTTTAAGAGGCTGTTGCCGTGTTGCCTCACGGCACCAAAATGACGAGAAAACTATTTTTTAGCTGGGGCTCACGTAGAAGTATGTTGTTTAGATTGTTGCTCTAGATCTACCTCGGTTGTCAATAATTTTCGATTGTTGTGTTTATACTGCAGTTGATGATCTTTGGTTTCTTCCTGTGTGTGGACGCCTTTCTGTACGTGTTCACACTGCTGCCCCTCAGGGTGCTGCTGGCTGTGCTCCGCCTCCTCACTCTGCCCTGCTGTGGCTTAAGGTCAGAAACACCACACATCCACACACGTATACAGAGCAACAGTTTCATATTGTGCTAAGTCTCTCTGTCTTCATGGGAAATTTAAAACAGTGCTGGAACGGTTGGTCCTCGTCATCTGTTTCGAGGAAGTGCATTCATGCAAACAATGATTCACTTCCCAGAAATACACAATAAAATACAATATAACAAAAATAAAATAATCATCAACTAAAACATTTTTTTAAACTGAAAATTAAAAGACAAGCAATTAATTATCAATATTTTATGTCGTCTTACAAATTACAATTTTAAAATAATAAAATAAAAAGTAGTCGCTGATGGCGTATTGTACACTCGCCTGACTTGTGTGCAGCATAAGGTAAGCATAAGTGGCTCAGAGAATGATTGGATGGATGTGTATGTACAATGCCATGAAAAAGTATTCCCCCCCCTGATTTCTGTTTTATACCTATCACAGACAAATTTTTCAACTCATCAAACCAATTTTAATATCACTCACCCAAGGTTAGTCCAGTTTTTTTTCGAATGCCAATTCAATTTATTAAGGTACACAAAAAAAAATCAAAACCTTTGTGACCCTCTGTGAAAAAAGTTATTGGCCCCCACCCCATCCCTTGTGAAATCACAAAGTCACTGTGACTGAGCACAAATTTGGGAAAGGTGAGTTCAACTTCACAAGCCACACCCAAATCTGATTACCACCGTACTTGTTGAATCAAGAAATCATTTAAATAGAATCTGTCTCAGAATGCGAAGTAGGCTACAAGATTTCAAGAGTCAATGCATCGTGCCACGATCCAAAGAAATTCAAGAAGAAATGAGAAAAAAAGTGATTGAAAACCATCTGTCTGGAAAAAGTTACAAAGCCACTTTCAAGGCTTTGGGACTCCAGCGAACCACTGTCAGCCATTGTCCTCAAATGTAGAAAACTGGGAACAGTAGCAAACCTTCTCCAGGAATGGACAACCAACTAAAATTACTCCAAGCCCTCGACGACGACACATCCAGGAGGTCACAAAAGAGCCTAGAACAACATCTAAATACTTGCAGGTGTTCATGACTCTACCATGAGAAAGACACTGGCCAAAAAAGGCATCCATGGAAGAGTTGCCAGGTGAAAACCACTGCTGTCAGCAAAGAATACAAAGGCCCTAAAACATTTTGATCATCTTCACAACTTTTAGAGAAACATTCTGTGGACTGACGAGTCAAAAATGTAACTTTTTGGTTGGTGTGAGGCCCGTTACATCTGCCTTTACAAATGGCACAGGATTTGATTAAAAGAACTCGATGCCAACAGTGCAGCATGGTGGTGGCACTGTGATGATCTGAGGCTGCTTTGCTACCTCAGGACCAGGACAACTTACTGTGATTAATTGGACAATGAATTTTGCTGTGTACCAGAAAATCCTGAAGGAGAATGTCCAGCCATTAGTTCGTGCCCTCAATCTCTTGAATCATGCAGCAACGATCCGAAATATATATAAAAGGTTTGACAGTGGCCACGTCAAAGTCCGAATTTAAATCCAATTGAGATGCTACATTGAAATGCTACACAGTTAATGCTGGAAAACCCTCCAATATGGCGGAGTTGAAACAATCCGGCAAAGAAGAGTGGTACAAAATTCCTCCAGAGCAATGTGAAAGACTCATCACCAATTATCGCAAAAGTTTGCTTTCAGTTACTGCTGCCAAGGGTGGCACAACCTGCTTTTAGGTTCAGGGCGGGATTACTTTTCCTTGTGGGTCAAAAAGGTTTGGATTTTTCATGTGCATTTAGAAATTGAATTGTCATTTGAAAACTGCATTTTGTATTTCCTTAGGTTGTCTCTGAATGATATTAACATTGGTTTGAGGATTTGAAATCTTTGTGTGTGATAGATATGCAAAAGAAAACAGAATTCAGGTCGGGGGCAAATACTTTTACTACTGTATTTCCAGGGAAGTGTTTTTGTACAAATAAACAAAAACGAATTAAAATATATATTTTTTGTTGATAGCCAAAAAGGCTTCCTCAGTACAATTTCCAAGCTTCTGGACACTGTCAATTGAATAACTTTTTGGAAAACATCTTTTTTGGTACAGTAATCCCTCGTTTATCGAAGTTAATGGGGACCAAAACCACCCGCGACAAACGAAAATCTGTGAAGTAGCGACCAATTAACAGGTTAAAAAAAAAAATTCTGCAAACGGTCCACGAGCAGCTGTAAAACAACAGCGAGTCACATAGAGCAACATATACAGTACTGTACCAGATGTATATTTAAAAAAAAAGTTGTTTTTGTTTTTTTTTTGTTTTTTTTTTTGTTTGAAAAAATCCTTGATGCACTGAACCCGCGAAAAACGAACAGCGAAGTAGTGAGGTTCACTGTATTCTTAAATATCACACACACACACACACACACACACACACACACACACACACACACACACACACACACAGATAGATAGACACGTTTATCTATAAAAAAAAATTAATGACTAAATCTTGTAGCAACTCCTCCATGTTTGTGCCCGTCCTCCCCCTTCTCTTACTGTAGGGCACGCACATGCCCCTACTGCAGAAGAAGCAGGTATGCTCCCTCCGCCTTATTCATGTTCACAGCCCCAACCAACCAACCGACCATCTCCATACCTTCATCCTCATCTCCATCGTGCCCTTTAGATGTTCAGCTGCTCATCATTGCAGCTCACTTAACAGCACCTTAGTGGTATTGCTTTCAACCACATCAGCGGAAGACTACGGAGTGCATGTTCATCCTCCGTGTTGTCTGCTCAAAAACAAAAAAAACATCCTTGATATATGTTTGCACTCCTTTGAAGTTGACAAATGCGACCGAAGAGTCTTTCATATGGAAAACAAGTAGGAGAAATTCTGTTAAATTTTTACTTGATATCCAATTGACGCATTTTGGAAGCATCGAGGATCAATGGAATGCACTACTTGGCTGTAACCAGCAAGAGGCGCTGTTGTTTCAATCATAACTTGTGTGCCATCGAAAGTAGAACAGCATGGCATCAGCTTGACTTCTTCCTTAGTTTTATCTATATGTAGAATGGGAAGGCAGTGCTTCACCCTATGATGAAGTGATGTGACAAGTAGCAGACAGGACAGGAGTAGTGAGTCAGGCAGTGGTGCTGATGTGTGGTGGGAGTGGCTATGCTCAAAAGCTACTTAAACTCAAATGTATTGATTGCCTCGGGTGACATCCTCTACATACTGAGGCTGTCTCTTTTGTGTATACTGTAATGTGTGATATAAATATGTCAGTAAAGTAATTCATTTTTAAAATCCTAATCTGTCAATTCAAAGAGTCTATCTTGCCCGGCTCTTTTACACAGAGATGGCCACCAACAAGAGAGCCGGCGTTTTTACGCCTTCGCTTTTTATTCGCTAAATTTGTTCATAGCTGTGATATCTGTCAGGCTTCTTTTGTCACAGCACCATAAATGCTAGTATGGAAAGTTGCATTTTTGATCCTAAGCACTGGAAATGTAAGCATCAATGTTCACACTGGGCTTGCTAAATGTGGTTATTTGTCTTATTCAGTAATATACATATTTTTTTGCACGTTTAGTAGTTTGTCTTTTGATGTCTGGCATGCAGGACTTTATGGAATAGTGGAATAAATGGAAGTGATGGACGTAGTATCTAGTTGAGTCATGGGCATGATTGTGTGCTTTCACAGTGGATCGAGGCTGCTGCAGCCGGCGCAGGTGTGCGACATGCTGAAAGGCCTCATCCTGGTGCTCTGCTTCTCCATGATGCATTACGTGGACTATGCCATGATGTACCACCTAATCAGAGGGCAGTCCGTTATCAAGCTCTACCTCATCTACAACATGTTGGAGGTGCTATTGGAGCGATGTTAAAGTCTCTTTTGGTGCATGGTAGAAAGTACAATTCATTGTGCCATTTATAACACAACTCGGAATCTGAGTTCAGTTAAACAGGGCCAGATTTCAGTCTGAATCAGGCTATTTGTAAGTAAAATTGAGGCTGAAATTTCCAAATTTGGCCTTTTCATATTCTTCGGTGCTATTGGCTCTCACGTGGGTATGTATAAGGTGTTGAAAATGGCTTGCTCTCTTTCACGATGCAATGTTAAGAATGGCTTTTGGGTGGGAGTGGGGCGTGTCCTAAAGAGTGATGGACTCAGCATTATATTTTGTGCATGATGTCAGTATAGATTCCTTTTCAAATCCTATTAGAGCTCAGTTTATAATGTTGTCAATTCTCAAGTACAATAAATTAAGTTGAGTCACGCATTTAGATTTTTTGAAACACTTAAGGAAAAAGATTGATCATGAATGACATCACGCAAGACTGATTAATGTTAAATTAGATTAACGTAACAGTTTTTTTTGTTCTGTTTTTCAGTATTCAATTTTTTTTTCCACATACACAATTTTTTTCGGTATTACATGTGGTGACCATTTGACCTGAGACTGGAACTCATCTATTTCCATTATTTCACATGGGCAAATAAAATCATCCTTGATGAAAGGTGGCAGATCGCCTCTTCTCCTCCTTCGGCCAAGATATCCTGGACGCTCTTTACTGGACTGCCACGGAGCCCAAAGAGCGCAAGAGGGACAGCATCGGAGTCATCCCTCACTTCCTCATGGCCGTCTTTTATGTTTGTATCCTTCCAGAGGGGCAGGATGAGCGTTTCAAAATGTGTGACCACCAGCTGTAGGTTGTTGGTTGCCTTTGTGCGTCTTACTTTAAATCAGGGATTCTCACACACTTTTTGGGTCGAGGAACTTTTTACAAGGGAGATGTTTTCCAGTACCTATATGTGTATATGTCCTTTTTTTTAACAACAAAATGACACTGATTTATAACTGCAATTTGTTTTTGTCATGGCTTTTACTGCTTAAATGTTTTCTTGAGCATCACATACCCAGTCCTCCACGCCATTCTCATCATGGTCCAAGCCTCCACGTTAAACGTCGCCTTCAACTCGCATAACAAGTCCCTGCTTACCATCATGATGTCAAGCAACGTGAGTACACACACACACACACACACACACACACACACACACACACACACACACACACACACACACACACACACACACACATTCTTGGAGGAGTCTAAAATATACAAGGTTATTTTGTGTGATGACGCTTAAGTAGCGCAAAAGGAACGTAACCGCTTCTCATTTCACAGTTTGTGGAGATCAAAGGCAGCGTATTCAAGAAATTCGAGAAGAACAACTTGTTCCAAATGTCCAACAGCGGTAAGATATGCTTCAGCATCTTATAAGGAGTGAACCGATCAAAGTTGCAATGCATTCCAAAATATCCTCCTCTATATTATTTATCCTTGTGTAAAACTAGCTTGCGCTAGAAAAACTCAAAATGAAACAAAGCTAAATATGTCTCAAATCAAGGCAAAATGTGCTGGTTCACTAGTAAGTCTTTTTTTCTAAAGGAGCAGTTTTTGCAGGAGCATTCACTTGGGAAGCATTTGTAACTTAAATCTTGAATCTTGATAGCATAACTTGTTACTGACATTTTAATTACAGAGCAGGTTTAACTTAAAATAAGTAAACAGGTGATGGACATTTTTCCTACATATTGAGAAAATAACTTTACAGATATTTTCCTTATAGTACCACAACTCTACTTTGGTAGCTTGTTTTCAGAAATCTTATCAAGTCAAATTTGCCACGTAACTTTGCTGAAATAAAATAATACACACTCTTAATTTAATTACTTTTTTTCTTGCTTTTAAATTTTCTGTGGTGTACTGTTGCAAACCAAAACGACAGCACCTACCAACGTACATAAACAGTCACTCAGATGGACAGGAAGCCCTGTGCGTATCAACCCTTCTACTCTGACGTCACATTTGTATGCCGTGGCCTAAGGCATCCATGTTCGAGTGAGGTAATAGAGGCAAAATAGTCGCCAAGTCTGTCTTGTGTTCACAACACTGGTGAACAACTGTGAGGTTTACGGTTGCTCGAATCACTCAACTTTTAGTTGTAGTAGTAGTAGTACAGAGTAGAGAGAAATCATTCTTTCTGATACTGGCAGTGATTTTTGGTTGAAATCTTGTTGAAACTAGGGGGGAAAAAAACAAAGCGGCTGTGTGAAGGAAGACGACCACAAAGACTATAAAATCCTCAACGTGACCACTTTTCACCATCCAAACATACAAGGATGTGCTCTGATCACTTTATATCAGGTCATTTTTTTCTGTGCAATTGGTCAGGAGATGAACCTTTGATTGTAAATTCGAGGTAGACATGATGCTTACTTTTTGCATACCCATGTAAGTTTTAGGTCGCATTGACGTTCATTATTAATCTGTTAATTATGTAGGAATACACATTTTACACACTAATGAAATATCACAGAACATTTTTCGTCTGTCTTGCTGACATTTTCACATGACAATCACAACACTTTAAGCTAAGACTAAATGTCTGCTGGGCAATGTGTTGCAACAAAGCGCCTCTCTTTGTTAGCAGCTAGCAAGCTAAGCTCTATCTTGAAAGGCTTTAATGCCGTTCAGCGTTTATCCGGACACAAACGATTTCATGAATTACGTTTCATATCATTGAAGTATTGATTGACCTTCTGTGTTAACCAAAAGCAACATAACTCATTATTATGAGACAAAGATCCACCCAACATGACTGGTAACGCTAACATTGGATAAGGCTTCTCTGTGTTTCCCTTCGACGTGCGGGTTCTCAAATACGGCACCGCAAACTAAGTGTCGCGTGTAAAGTGACATCAGTGAGAAGGGTTTATTGAAGAAGCTTTCTCTCTGTAGCGATTGCATCTTGAAGTGATGTTAAGCCTTTTTCTCTACCATGAGTGCCTAATATGGAGGTGAAAAATCTTAATAGCGATGAACATTACAACAGTCGACAACTCCACAATGTTGTGTGCATCCATGTTCATGTTCTCAGGATCTACTGTACTTGCCAGTTTCACACAGTGTAAAAGGCCAGTGGGGCTTTCTACTATTATTTCCTCTTTGGAGCCTTTTTGAACCCATTATGTGCTTAGAGCTTAAAGTATTATTACAGCCGTACATGAAATGTCCTGGAAGCTATCTATGTCTTGGTTGTGACAGCGGCAGCCATTTTCTTGACAAGCGTGATGTGACAGGTCGTTAGTGTTCAGCAGAACTTGTCGTTATGGTTTCACATTATTTCGTCTTCTCCCGCCAGATATCAAAGAGCGCTTCACCAGCTACGTTCTCATGCTCATCGTGTGTCTGAGGAATATGGAGCAGTTCTCGTGGAATCTGGGTAATTATTTTGAAAACTGTGTTCATAAATATGTCATGTAGTTACTTGGCTCAGTATTCCCCAAAGGTTTCCTCTTCCTCTTGAGAATTTTCAAAGAGAAAGTGGAGATTTGCTTGTGATCGGAAAATATCAGAACTTGGCAGACAGATTTGTAGCAAGATTTATGACAGTAAAAATCAACATTGAATTAATTGGGTCTTACAGTGGACAAATGTATAGGTTATAGCAAAAGAAGTCTGACAACATTATTATACACACAAATAGGAAGAGCAATTTCATTACACAATAAACCTTTTTATGAGTGGTGCAGGGGGAGTCAATTACTTGCTCCGCAGGCTTTTACTATTCCTATCCCACGTAGAGTGCGTGCTTTGGGTTTACAGTAATGGTCTGTTCGAAAATATACAGAAACTCAATTTGGTTGATGGGTGGCACATGGTTTGATGAGGAAATCGTGGATTTGGAAATCGTGAGCATTTGAATCAAGATGCGGATTCTGAAATCTTTTTTTTCCACTCTTTGATGCATGAATGAAAGCACATCCACCCCTCAGAATCGAAATTGAACCAGGGTGTGTTCTCCTACAAATTTGGAAGATGTGGAAAGCATGAAAAAAAATAGCCTGCCACCATCGTAGCGTAAGCACTATAGCCTCTACTAAATAGCCGTGCAGCCAATGGACTAAAGCATCAATCAATAGTGTCATCTTTTGATCATGCATATTTGCAAGTCGCTGTGATGTGAACGCCATGGGTAGGATCTTTACATAAAATGTCTGTTTACATTCAAGGCATGTTCATTATTCCTGAGAGGCCAGTTTTTAGTAGTTCACACTCTGTTATTTTACATTGTTCATTTGCTGCGCTGTTGAATAAAAAAATGTTTGAAATGAATGAAAAAAAATCCATCCAACCATCCTTTTTCCAAACTGCTTTTCCAAGTCATCTTTTTTTGTTTTCATTTGAAAATGTATTTCATATCTTGAGTACTCTCTAGTTACCTTATTTTTCAGTACCAATGCTTTAAAAACAAAAAGCATGCACTTGTCTCTACCGGTCTGCGGTGCGAAAATCATTGGAGTCAACTGGCCTACTAACTTACAGACTAATGACTAAATACAAAAAAAAGCGCACTGAACCAAGGTTGTTATTTTTGTTTGTTTGGTTTTTTTTACGACGGCCTGTGCTCAACGGTTCGGTCGGCCTCACAGTGCAGAGGTGCAGGGTTCGATTCCAGCTCCGGCCTTCCCATGCGGAGTTTGCATGTTCTCCCCTGCCGGGTTCTCTACTTTCCTCCCACATTCCAAAAACATGCATGGCAGGTTAATGGAACACTCATAAAATTGTCCGGAGGTGTGAGTGTGAGCGCGGATGGTTCTTCTGTGTGTGCCCTGCGATTGCCTGGCAACCAGTACAGGGTGTACCCCGCCTACTGCCCGAAGACAGCTGGGATAGGCTCCAGAACGCCCTGTGAGGATAAGCGGATCAGAAAATGGATGGATGGATGTTTGTTTTACTATGATTCAGAGTTTGATCTTGAGCACAGTCATTACATTTATCCACACGACACACTACAAAGTTGAATCGTCCTTAGCCAGTCCTTCTCACATAGTGAAGCGGGGCACTCTGAGGTGGTGCAGTACAAAGGGCTTGGCATGTGTGACCCCCGGGAACTTTTAGAGTAGGGGGGGTGTTTTCTTCTTCCTCAGGGAGCGTAATGGAAATAATTGAGAAGCAGAATCCTCAGCACAAATTAAGTCATTTCAACCGTAATATGGTATCAAAAAATAAATATAAGCTCAATTACAAACCAAATATTGTAGTCAGAACTCACTAGCAGCACTGACAAAAACAGAATATCACAGAGAAGTCATATGCAGTCGGTGGATGGCTCCACAGTTGCGAGCAACCATGCTGAGCCGTGAGCACTTTTGTCCTCCAGGGGGAGTCCTCTTGAGCAGCGAAGGCATGACAGCCCAATTGACAGCTCCGTGACAAGCGTCATCTCCCCTAGACGCTCCTGAAGGCAAATGCGCGGGCGCTGACTGACAGACGCAGCCTGTCAGCCACGCTGTGACACCGTCGCGCTCGCTCCAACCCTTTTTTCATCAGTCACGGTCGCTCTCTTGAATGCTTGGTCGTGATAAGCTAGTATAACAAGCTTTCCTCTGAATGAGCTTCCAAGCCCATTTTATGTCATTAGTCATTTCCCTATAATGAATGGCAATGTTTAGTTGTGAAAATGGGCACAAAGCCTATTATGCAAACTTCAGTACTGGAGTTCTATCAACTGAATGAGTTGTGAACATCCCTTGAGAACTTATTAAAGAAGTCTTTTCACAAAGGGTGAGAACCCCCACCCCCTCAATTTTCATGACGTCACTGGAGAGGTTCTATTGTTTTTAAATAAAAGTATAATTCACCCACACTAATAGTGAGTGCGCAGCTTGAGACGTATTCAATATAAGGCAATGGTCCCCAACCTTTTTTGTGTTTGAGACAACATGCTGTTCGAGGACCGGTGACCATTTTTTTCATTGCTTTTAAATTGCCAATTTTCAAGCAATGGTACTGACAACAACACTAATTATAGTTCTATAATGCTATAGAAACACAGATTTTTTTTCATTTGTTTCAAACAGTGTTATTCTAATGTACAACAAATGTAGAATACAATAACACAGTGAAGTACTAAGAAATGGACCAATCAGGAATAAAAAATACGCCTTATAATATAAACATAATATTGACGTTACGGCGTTAGCATTATTGCTACTTACAAACGTGACTGATGAAATATGACGCGATTGATTGTTGCTTTCATCCGGTGGCTGCCGGCTAGTTATTAGCGATTAGCGATCAACAGGTTTCTTGTATCGTCTTGTTTTTGACGACATGTCATGAACAACAGCTTCCGCCACGTTGCTCTGGAGATAACGCTGGGAGGCGCTCCCTTGTCAAATAGCGTCATCTTCGGAAGTCATGGCTGCCCATCAGCTACGCGTTTGGGCAATTTACTCTCACATTCTGTTTACTGCTTCTTCTTTCATTTATTGGCAGATTCTGTTCATTTCAACTTGCAAACCAATGTTAGAAAGAGGACTCCCATTGGCTAGAATCACGCACATTTCCGCCACGTCTGGTGGAGTAAATGTGCTCACGGCTTGCAGATCCGTTTCTGTGTGACCCGGTACCAAATACTACCGGTCTGCAGACCAGTGGTTTGTGACCCCTGATATAATTTATGAAATTGCCCGAAGCTTGAGATTCGGACTCGACGGTCCAGTCACCGTAATTGATAAGATCTTTGCATTTTTCGTGCGCACTGCTCTGTGTGACAGAAATATCCAAATTCATCTCCCTGTTTTATGCTGCACTTCTTAGGGAATGCTTGTTGCAAACTGTTTTGAAGGCTTTGCACATACGAGCTGCGGGTGTTGCGCCTTGAGGCATTGGACCAGGCTCATTTTTCCAATCGCCTCTTCTTTCCTCCTCGGGAGACTGGGAGATGTTTTTTTTTTTTTGTGGGGGTTAATTATTATGGGTATTACTAAGCGTGCGTTGCTAGAAGGGACTGCAAACTAACGCTATCCTAAAGCACATTCGAAAATTCACTCTGATGTCCGCGCAGGACTCTGAGATTGAGTGTGTTCTGAGAGGGTTGAGTACACTCCGCCCTCATTAGTTTCTGAACACAGCCAGTGCTGGCGCACCGTGTCCCCAGTCGGAGCGCCACGCATTTTCTGCACTCTGAATAGCCAAACGAAGAATTTGAACAACGCTCTTAAATTTCCGAACCGTCGCAGTGAATCAGTGCCCGCGCAGGGATTATTTCCGAATGTTCCCCGAATGTGCAAGTAACTGAAAGGCTCACCCTGCCCTTCCCTGCCCTCGCAAACACACACATGGGGTATAGCTGCAGCACAAACCTGGGAAGAAGAATGAAATGGTTACTTGTGAACTTAAAAAAAAAAAAAAAAAAAAAATCATCTTAAACCGTTGTGAGGGAGGATAAGCGGTTCAGATATTGGATGGCGCCATACATCATTTCGATTCCTCAGATGGTACTGCATCTAAAACCGACATTGTGTCAAGGAAATGATCGCATGGGCTCAGAAACACTTCAGAAAACCAATGTGAGTAAATATAGTTTGGCGCGACATCCATAAGTGCAACTTAAAACTCTACTCTGCAAAGCAAAAGCTATTAATCAACAAGAATCTGTCATGATTCGGTTTGTTACCAACAGGTGGCACTGTAGGGCTCTCCCTGCAGCTGCACACCTGTTGGTCATTATGTAATTAGTGTTTTAAAAGGACTCCCAGCCCGAACACTCAGTGTCGGGTCATTGTTGCTCTTTGCTACTGTCATGTTTGTTTGTTGCCGTTTGTCTGCTGCTGTCATGTTTGTTTCAGGCATGTTTTGGTCAGTGTTATGTTTTATCTTCAGTCATGTGTTTTGTTTGATACTTTGGACTTTGTTTGTTTTGGATTTAGTTTTTTCTGAGTTTCAATACAGTCTTTCAAGTACACCCTGCTCCTTCCTCCTGCCTGCTTTTTGGGGTCCACCACCACCTCGCATCGTGACAGAATCGGAAAGAATTCCACCTATAAAGCTTCAATAAGACGTGTCCTCAGTTCCCAAATGTTTATTGGATGTTTTTAAAAGAATAGGTGATGTAACACAGTGGTAAACATCACCCTGTATCAGCTTTTTTTGAAACATGAAGTAGCCATAAAATTCAAAGTTCATGATTATTTGTTAAAGACAACAAGTTTATCAGTTTAGACATTAATTATCTTGTCTTATGCAGTGTATTCAATTCAATACAGGCTGAACATAATTTGCAAACCAACATCCCAACTTCTTTGGAAATGGGTTTGTAAATAAATTGCTGGGGGAGCTGAATGTGAGCTGGACAGATTTCTGACGGGGGCGAGCGTCCCCAAGTCCCAGTGTGGTGCCGTGCATGCTGTCTGGCTAAATGAAGTTTAGTGAAACCATTGTTATACTGGATAGTTTTATTTTGAAGGTCTGACTTTTGACCTAATGTGCTAACCCGATGTTACCGAGCAGACCGGGAGGGTTATTGCATTGTGGAATACTTTTTGCCGTCATAACTTGCGGAATGCTTTGAATGAACACTCATCAGTTCTGGGACATGACTGATTTAAGTCATGCTACGAAAACGGAGGTTTCTACCGCACAATAACTCAAAAATCGCAGTATGAAAATGTGTCTAGAATCATCATTTAACGAGCAAAGATTAACAATAATGAGTTAAAATGATCTTGCAAATACAGAAACAATGTCACGCATGTATAATTGACACGCAATTCACTCTCACATTGGTTCAATTGTCTAATTGATTGTGCTCGTTTCCTTTGTCGCAGAGCACCTCTGGGTGTTGTTTCCTGATGTCTTCATGGTCCTCACCTCCGAAGTGGCCGTTGACGCCATCAAACACGCCTTCATCACCAAGTTCAATGACATCACGGCGGATGTAAGGACTCTTTTTTTTTTTTCTCGGACCTCCCTCTTCTTACGTCCGCCATGTCCTCTATCAGGTTTACAGCGAATACAGAGCCAGCCTAGCCTTTGATCTCGTCAGCAGTCGACAGAAAAACGTAAGCGGCAGTTTCTTTTGATTGTGCTGTCGCTCCATTGACATCAAGTGTTTTCTGTGTTAGGCCTACACGGACTACAGCGACTCCGTGGCACGCCGGATGGGCTTCATCCCACTGCCTTTGGCTGTGCTAGTAAGATGGCGCGCCCTCTAAACGCTGTTGACCTGCAAATACAGGATGTCAACACCTTTCGTTTTGTGTTTGAACAGCTTATCCGGGTGGTCATGAGTTCAGTGAAGGTGCGAGGAGCGCTGTCATACACGTGTGTGTTCCTCTTTTATCTCGGGTAAGACACAATTCACTTTCCAGTTGCTTGCTTCTGCAAACCAATAAGTAATGGTCAGAAGTTGGTGCATCTGGCATTATATGTCTAACCCAGGGGTCAGCAACCCAAAATGTTGAAAGAGCCTTAAAGGACAAAAAAAAACAAAAAACAAATATGTCTGGAGCCGCAAAAAACGAAAAGCCTTCTATAAAACTTACAATGAAGGAAACACATACTGTATGTATGTAGGAGACTGGACTGTCTCAGAATTGTTTATGTCATTCAATCCTTTGTTGTGTGTTCACAAACGCCCCCATAGAATTTATTTTGTGATTTCCTCGCTTGATTTTTTTGTTTTGGTGTATTATTTTCGCTTTTCTTAGTGTCAGTGAAGTGATCATGAATTTCCATTTTTCGGAGGCTGTCTTTGAACGCCTCTCGAGTTGAACGAGAAGAGAGAAGGCACGGAGTCGGACGCAGACGTGTCTGTGTTTGACGAGACTGTTAAAAGCATAAATAAAGTGTACGTTTAAAAAAAACAATACCACAGCTCTCCTTTTTCAGAGCTGCAACATGTATCTATATCTATTTGAGCTATATTAGCCTACTGTCAAAATCTTTTTCCATTTTCAAACATTTTTTTTATAAAGCTGCAGGGAGCCACTAGGTGTCACTAAAGAGCCGCATGCGGCTCTGGAGCCGCCTGTTGCCGACCCCCGGTCTAACCCTAATTTAAATGTCATTTAGCACAGCTGAAAAGTCCTTGAAAAGCTTCAAAATGTGTTTTGCTGGTGTTTTCTTTTAAATAAGAACTCGACGTCTTTCATGCAAAGCTCCTCCAAAATCTGTCATTTTCACACAGCAACCCTGCGAAATGACCACTGGTCCTGCAAAATGACGCCCTCTTTAGCACTTAAGTTCTGTTACAGTACTGTGTCCTTCACGCAGAGATGCAGTAAAATTGCCACCTGTTTCACACTGAGATCCAGCAAAATTGTTGCCAGTTTCACACTGCACCACCTTTTTCACATAGTGCCCATGCAAGAGTGCCACAGCCTCTTTTACTCTGCTGTGAGGTCCTTTACCTCCTCCTCTTTCACACTGGGATGCTGCACACATTACCGACAAGAGTACCACCTCTTTAATAGTGAGATCCTGAAAAATGACCTTCCTTGTCAAACAGGACTACCTCTTTCACTCAGTCCCTTTAAGATAAGCACACGTTTCACACTGAGATCCTACGAAATCCCACTTTTTTCACACAGGAATAGCTCTCATACATGGAGAGCCTTTGAAGTCATGGGGTTTTTTCACACAGAGACTGCAAAATAAGCACCTCTTTCACTGAGATCCCCAAAACTGCTGACTTCTTTCAGACTGAGACCCTGTGAGACCCTCAAACCTATCCCGCAAAATTATTGCTTCTTTAACAAAACAATCTTGGAAAACGGCTGCCTCTTTTACGGTCCTGGAACATTATCATTTGTTTCACATTCAAGAATAGATTACAGAAAATGCCCCTTCCCCCCTTTCACACAAAGACCCTGAAAATTTTCCACCTCATACAGAGATCCTGCAAAACTATTACCAATTCTTTCCACAATGATCCTTTAAATCGCCTGCCTCTTGCTCAGAGGTTTTTTTTCCCCCACCGCTATGCAATCTAAAGCTTTTGCCATGTCCATTGACACATTTTGTATTTGCATCTATTTTTGTTCAAAGCATGCATATCGTACGTCAGAGAACTGACTCAAATATTCCCACACAACACACACGCACGCCACCATTACATAAGCATTAATACTGTGTCCTCGCATTCTCCCCATGCTCGTTCGCCGTATCTCATCGGGCCGGCGCCATTGAAGAGTTTCCCCCTCGGGGTGAACAGTACGATGTTGTCATCTCAGCTGGCATCTCGGCGGTTTAAAAATAGCCCTTGCTGCAACACACTGCTGTGCCCCAGCAACAGTTCGGCCACATCGACATGCGCTTGCTCTTCACACCTCACCGCATGCAGCAGCAGGCAGCAGTTCCGCGGACCTAATTTTGTCCGCCTGTCATCAGTGACGCCCAGTTTAGCCCTGATGATGGCACACTTGGACCACAAATGCATCGCAGTGGACCAGTAGTAGTTTTACACGCCACTGAACACGTGCTTTTGTGCCACAATCACTTTCACAGAATTTTAATCACAATCATTTGAAGATGAACAACCAGTTGAGTTCGCAAAGTGCCATGCCACACTTCCACACAGAGACCCTGCAAATTTACCTTTTTTGCACTGACACATCACAATTTCCACCTCTTTAACAATGAGAACCTGTAAGATGGTCCCCTTTCACATGGATAATGAAATTCCTTTCCAGTGTTTGACCAATAAACGTTATTGAGAATTTTTTTTACTTACAATGAGATGGTCACATCTTTCATATATACACGCTGTAAAATAATACCCTCTTTCACAAATGACCCTGCAAAAGTATTTCTTTTTGTAGAGAATGCCTCTTTTACGCCAAATTTCCGCCACCTTCACACAGAGGTCTGATCAAATAACCACTTTTTTCGCCGCAGATTGGTCACACTGAAGGTGCTGAACAGCATCGTGCTCCTGGGCAAGTCATGCGTGTACGTTAAGAGGGCCAACATGGAGGGCAAATTGTTTGCGAAGCCCCACGCCACGTCGTCCTCAGCCAAGACCCCCAACAACAACACTTCGACCACGCCTCCCACAGGTAATACATGATTTTACTGCCACTTTCACACAGAGATCCTACAAAGTTACCCCTTCTTTTACACAAAAATCCTGCAATGTCACAGCCACGTTGACACAAAGACCCTGGAAAATACCATATTTTCCAGAGTAGAAGTTTCTTATCAAAGGTTGGCTGGTCCTGCGATTCTGGTATAGAAATTAGAACTTGGATTGGCACAGAAAATCCCCGTTCCCTAATCATGTTGATGGCAAACAACAAGCTCTGAATGGATTCGAAACTGCTTCTAACGACGGAAAAGTTTTTCCCTTTTAATGAAAAATCCTCGGGTTGTGGATGCCGCATGCTGAAACTAGTGAGCTCGCTGGGACACAATTTTCGAAAATAGAGCCATGAGACAGACACAGAGACCCTGAAAAATGACACTCCTTCCATGCAGAGATCCTCTAAAATGAGAGAAGCTTTCACACAGAGACAGTGAAAAGCAAGAGTCTCTTTCACACAGCGATCCTGTCAAATTACCACCAATGCAAAAGAAAACAAAGTACTCAGAGACTCTTCAAAGGACGGAAAATTAACCACAACATTGACACAGGTCCTCCAAAATGGCTCCTGCTTTTACACAGAGACCATATAAAATGTGAACCTGTATCACATGGCGAGCTTGCAGCACGATTGCCCCTGTCATAGGGAGATCCCCGCGAAATGACCACCATTTCAATACGGGCGCACTTCAACATGTGGGTAGTGTTAAAACAATCTGAGGCGGACGCCCACTGACGCTTGTTGTTCATCTTGTAAGACTGCACAAATAGTGCAGTTTGGGCCGGCCAGCTTTTAGACGTGCCCGTCATCAGGCCAAACACCAACAGTCACATGTTTTCCTGGAAGCAGCGGCGTCATTTGCAGCCAAATCCCCTTGGCTCTCACCTCCACCCATGGTTCCGCCCACACTTCTCAACAGGAGCTTTGAGGTGACAAAAGACGACATGTCACTTCCTCTCAGCTTTATCTGGATCCATAGAAGGGACAAGGCGCCATATCTTTCAGCTGGGATTCGAACGAGCGCCGTCATTTGCCATGCTTACCTCACTTTCAACCTCGCCTTTACTCAAGTGCCACTCCGGCGCACAATATGTTTAAGCGCATGTCTTAGTTTTTTCAAATCACCTCCATTCGCACAGCACAACGACACACCATCTGCTTTTGAGTGTTCATCCGCAGGGCAGATGAGGGCAACGAGCAGTTCGACATCAGCCGTTTGCACGTAACTTTTATTAAAACGGAAACATGAGCTCGAGGAGCATCAAAAATTCACCAAGGCACAATGCAATGTCCTTGGATCTGGAGCCTTTCACACTGAGATCCTGTGAAATGACTTCATTTCCTGAAAAATGTCCTCCACTTGCAAAGTAATTGTCACTTTCAGACAGAGAACCTGCAAATTCAGACTCGCGTAGAGACCACAGTTACTACCTCTGACTGCTGAGTTTTCCACAAAGACCCCGGAAAGGTTTTACACAACTCAATGGGCGTAGGCTCTTTCACACTGAGACCCTGCGCAAGTACTACATTCATTCATTCATTTTCTGATCCGCAAGGGTTGCGGGGGGTGCTGGAGCCTATCCCAGCTGTCCTCGGGCAGTAGGCGGGGGACACCCTGAACCGGTTGCCAGCCAATCGCAGGCACACAGAAACGAACAACCATTCACACTCACACTCACACCTAGGGACAATTTGGAGTGTTCAATCAGCCAACCATGCATGTTTTTGGAACGTGAGAGGAAACTGGAGGACCCAGAGAAAACCCATGCAGGCCCGGGGAGAACATGCAAACTCCACACAGGGAGTCCGGAGCTGGAATTGAACCCGGTACCTCTGCACTGTGAGGTCGACGCACTAATCACTGGACCACCAGCCCGCCCAAGTACACACATTTTTATTTACTTAGCCTGTGTGTGTGTGTGTGGGGGGGGGGTCCATGATATTGTGTAGATTCTGAAAGCTACTCTCGTTTTTTATTTTTCCAGTGGACCCATGCAATTTGCGCGGTATAGGTACTGTACCTGCCTGCAAATTGCAAATTTTTTTTAATTTTTTTTTTATTTTTTGTTTCGTGTTAACACAAAACAAAAATTCAAAAGGACACTGATAAGTATTAAATATTTCCACAAAAACCAAACGGAAAAAAATCCACAGGTTCTGTACCGTTAGCATGCTGGGGTCCACTACTATTATTGGGACGTTATCATTGTGGCTTTGTACCAAAATGCTACGCTGTACTTCTGTGTCTTTCTTCGAGAAAATTACCCAAAATGTTCCCTCCCAAATCCCGCAAAATCGCTCAGTTTTACAGAGACCCTGAAAATGTAACATCTCGTTCACAGAGAGGTGCTGTAAAATGAACACCTCTGTTACTGTGATTCAGCAAAATTGTCTCGTTCATACAGAGATCACAGTGAGCCTGCAAAGTCGCTGACACTTTTACACAGAGACTTTACAAAATCGCCCCTGCTTTTATACAGAACCATGTAAAATGATTGCCTTTTACACATTGAGACGCTGCAATTTAACCACCTCTTGCCAATTGTATTTTTTTCCTTTTTATTCACCTTTTTTTTTCTCATTAAATTAAAACATGAAATCATGATCCAAAATCTTTTAACCTTGGAATGTTCATGGCCGGTTATTCTTTTGATGTCTGGAACAAGTGGAAGCCTGTCAATACTGCCCGGAGGATGTGGAAGATGATGTCTACATTCATGGAATTCTAATGACACGTATCCTGTTGTTTGGAGCTGGCAGTTTCCTGATTTATTGCAAAATTCAGTAGAAGCGGGCAGCTTTATTCGACATGGGCAAGTTACCGATCGTGCTTGATGCTTTGTGGCGGGTGATCAACACTCAGACCCGGGCAATGCGGGAACTCAGTCACGGGATTGAAATGCGATTTGTGAGTCACTTGACAGCTATATCCCGGAGTAGAACATGACCGTCGCAGTCACTCACTGTGTTTACTTCTTCTTCACAGGTGACGACAAGCTGAACCCGAAGCCGCCCTCTGTTCCTCCTTCCTCATCACCCTCCTCTTCCTCAGTGACTACCCAACCAGCACCGAGGTGGGACTTTCCCCTGCCTCCCGTTGACTCTTCGGCCTCAGCGCCTGCACCCCACTCTCCTTGTCCTGACCATCCGCCTCCTGGACCGGAACCCCAGCAGCCTGCTGCTTCTCCCCCGAAAGAGGAGCAGGAGCACGCGGCTGAGGGGAGGCCCAAGGCTCCCAAAAAGGACCTTCTGGAGATCGACCGTTTCACGATCTGCGGCAACCGCATCGACTGAGCGAAAAGACACAAGAGTAAATCATTGGATGCACGTTGTGGTAGTTTGCTGTCGTTTCGAGACGTTTCACGACAGCAAGATTCAGCGGGCTGATAACCAGTGTGTAAGGGAGCTCGATTTGAAAGGAGCACTTTTCAATGTGCGGAAGAGCACAGCTGGAAACCACACAAATGGTTGAAGGGGGACTCCGCGAGAGACTCCAAAGGATTCCCATCCTGAATGTCGCAGTGGCGCACAAAACGGGGTTTACGCTTTCTCAAGACCTTGACGACGAGTCACGCTTGTTCCTTTGATTTGATGATTTGCAATAATTACGTTTACTTTTTTTGTTTCTTTGCTTCAATTTCAAAGAGAAGCTCATCTTTCCAGCAAGCAGTTGAGTTCGCACAGCTCCCATGCCTCTTTCACCCAGAAAATTTACGGCATGGTTCACAAAGAGAGCCTGCAAAATTCCTGCCTCATTGCAACGGAGCCTGCATAATTCCAGCTCCCTTTATACAGAGACCCTGTATAAGTATTGCCTCTTTTACACAGTGCCCCTGCAAAATGACCACAACTTTTTGTACAGAGAGCCTACAAAATCACCGCCTTTTTCACGCACAGTGCAAAATTAGGACCACTTACACCCTTTGATGTAGGAATACAACTGCCCCTCTGACACAGAAAACCCTTGTCATGTCACACAAGGACCCTGCACAATTCCTGCCCCCTTTCACATAACGACCAAAATTAGTAACACCTCTACTCTGTTACACTATATATTCACATCCATTTTTTTCTTTTTTTTCCACTGATCTTGCAGCTTGTAAGACTATCACCAGCTTCATACTGAGGCACTGCAAAATCAGAACCTTATTCATTGGAATCTTGTAGGAACTGTCACATTCACACAGAGATCCTGCAAGATTACCACCTCTCATAGAGATCCTAGAGAGCCTTATCCATACAGAGACGGACAGAAACCCTTTAAAGTTACCGCATATTTCTTATTGACATCCTGCAAAATTGCCACCTCTTTTGCATAAAGACCATGCAATATTGCCCTCTCTTTTGCACAGAGATCCTCCAAATTATAGGTTTATTCACACAGAGATCTGCCACTTTCACACATAAATCATGCACATTTGCTCCCTCGTTCAGACGGATCCGACAGAATAGCAGCCTTGGTCACCCTTGAAGAATGACAAGAATATTACATCGAGAGACCATGCAAAATAATCTTCTTCATACAGATTACTTTCATCCTCCCATTCTGCGAAATTACCATCGACAAACCTAATTCCAATGAAGTTGGGATGTTGTGTTAAATGAATAGAAACAGAATGCAACGATTTGCAAAATCATGTTTAACCTACATTTAATTGAATACGCTACAAAGACAAGATATTTGATCTTCAAACTGATCAACTTTATTGTTTTTAGCAAATAAACATCAACTTAGAATTTTATGGCTGCAACACATTCCAAAAAAGCTTTTTCAGGTTTATGACTGTGTTATAGCACCTTTTCATGCAAGAAACATTTGGGAGCTGGGAACACAAATTGTTGAAAGTTACTTGGTGGAATTCTTTCCCATCCTTGCTTGATGTGCAGCTTCAGCTGTTCAACAGCCCGAGGTCTGCGTTGTCATATTTTATGCTTCATGGATGACGGCATATGTTTCTCTAAAAGCACTATGTACCTTCATGGTGCCTTCACAGATGTGAAAGTTACCCATGCTGTTGGCACTAACATGGCCCCGTAGCATCACACATGCTGGCTTTTGAACTTTGCGTCCATAACAATCCCAATGGTTCTTTTCCTCTTTGGCCCGGAGGACACGACATCCACAATTTACCAAAATGTGGACTCGTGAGACCACAGAACACTTTATTCCCTCCCTCACTCTGCATCAGTCCATCTGAGATGAGCTCCGGGCCCAGAGAAGTCGGCTGCATTTTTGTGTTGTTGATAATTGGGTTTTTGCTTTGCATTGCAGCGTTTTAAGTTGCAGTTATGTATGCAGCGCCGAAATGTATCCACTCACGTTAGTGTTCCTCAGCCCATGCGGTGATAATCCTTGACACCTTGATGCCAATGGCCTTGCCATTGACATGCAGTGATTTCTCCAGATTCTCTGAACCTGTTCCCGGTTAGCCTGTTCACCTGTGGGATGTTCCAAACAGGTGTTTGATGAGCATTCCTCCACTTTCTCACTCTTTTGTGACACCTGTCCCAGCATAATATTCAAAGTTGAGGATTATTTATTAAAACCAATCGAGTTCATCAATTTGTCTTTTCGGTGTGCAGGTTTTTATGTTCAACACAACGTCCCAACTGCATTGGAATTGGGTTTATATTTCTGCTGCCTTTTTCACATCGAGATTCCACAAAATGACCGCCTTGTTTTTGTTGATATTTATTTTTCTTCCCACTGCATAAATCTAAGTTCAGTCGCTTCTCAGAAGCATGAACGCTGCTCTCGCCCCAAAATGGCGGATCAACTCTGGCACGTTCTTTCGACGTCCTGCCTGCTGTCCTGATACTTTTGCCCGTGTAGTTTTAGCACTGATGGCGCAAATGGGCTCGTTGCCTTCGTGAGCCTTCGCCGTCTTGTTTACATCCTTGCCGTAGTCAGAAGGGTTTTCGCAATGAAAGCCTTGGCATCTGGAATGTTTCCGGATTGATTTTGATTGCAATGAAACGATTGTTTGTTCCCTGCAGAAATATGAATAATCCGCTTTTTATTTGATGCAAGATGTGACATGTCAGGTATGATTTATTTAATTTTATTTAAGGTACTTTCCTGCCATGTCGGGGAGGGGGGGGATACGCAAGAGAGACTTTCTATTTGGTCAACTGCAGTTGTTGTAATTATAAAATGTAATAAAATATTTTTGGGGAGTTGCCACTGGTAAAGTGATCATGACTCTACTTGTTTTGTCCCTCCATATTGTTGAAAATATTTAAACGCTCTAGCTGTCACAACGTTTATGCTACTTGTCATTATTTTGGATTGTTTTTATTTTGGGCTTGTTTTTCTTTGGTTTGGGAGGGTTTTGTTTTTTTGTTTTTTTTGTAGGTGTGTTGTCATCGTCTGTACAAGTCCCAAACAGGCCTGAGAGTTAGTTGAGTCATTTCTGATGCTCTTGCTTCATCAGTTCATTTTTGACTAGTTTTTGCCTCACGAGTGTAGGCCACACATTTGATTACCTGTCAACAAGTCAATCTGACCACCAACTCGATAAAGTAGTCAGTCAACGTTGAAGTGTGTTTAATGTCATGTGACTGCCCCTTTCACACGGATATACTGTAAAATTACCGCCTCATTCGTCCAGAGAACCGGCAAATTTGCTGCCCGTTTTACATCGGTAACCTTCAAATGTAGTCCCTCCAGACAGTAACCTTGCAGTCGTATCCTTTTGCATCCTGAATTTCTGTATAATGACCACATTCCACACAGAGAAAGTGCAGAATTATCACTTCCTACATAAACCCGGGAACATTTTTGCTTGCATAGATTTCTTGCAGGTGTGCTGACTCTTTCACACCGAGCCACGACAAAATTCAGACTTCCTCATTCACACAGACACTGAGCAAGACCCTGCAAATGTCTCACCTTCTTTCATAAAGAAATGGTCGAGAATTACTGTTCTATATAGAAACACTGCTAAAATTAATATTTGAACAAATACCTGGCAAAATTGCATCCTGTTTCACACACATTTCAGTCTAATGAAACTCCCTCCTCTTTAACCCAATTTAGCCTGCAAAGTAGTTGCTTTTTTTCATGCAGTTGTATTGACTTTAACATTGTACAAAATTACCTCATTTATACACAAACCTCAGTCACATAATGCTCTATCCCACACACATTGTACAAATCTACTGCCACTTTCATATAGAGACCCTGCAAAGTTACCCCCTTGTATTTTCTGAATGAGATTGGCAAAATTACGCTCTCATTCAGAAAAATTTAAAAAATGCAGAGTTTATGCAGAGACCCTGCAAAATTAACCTCCTCATTCACACAGTCTGTACAAAATGACCTATTCATTCCGACTTCCCAGACATATCACAAACTGAAATTGACACTTCCTACCCATTTAATTTTATGAAGGGCCTGTTTGAGGGCGGCGTTCACATTGCGTATCACTGTCGATAGGGAGCTAGCTTTGTCCTTGTTTATTTTCAATGAGTAGCAGTAAGATGAGATTTACCTCCCAGACGACCTCACCTATCTCGGAGGCCCGACATGTGTGTCATGCTGTACGCAAACGCTTATTAGACGACCATTAAGCTCCTTATGAGAGGACGCTCACGGCCAAGACACACTTAGGTCATCACCATTAAAAACATCCACCGCATTCACCAGAAAAATCAAAGCATTTAAAGAAGGAAATCCACATTTTTCCAATTGGCCCTGCGTACAGAAAATGGAAGGAAGATGGGGCACAGGCACTTCAAGTAGGTTTTAAACCCTATCCTAAATTTGCAGTTAAATATGAGCGGGTAAAGATATTTAAAGAAAAAAAAAATTTCGGTCAGCCAGGTTTTATCAGGAACAAAAAAAAAACTTTTTTGTATTGGGGACAAAAAAAAAAAAAATTGCATGATATCTTGTATAATTCAACTTCGAATATTCTTTACAATTAAAAATATTTAAAGAAACTACATCTAATGTCTGTATAAAATGTTTTCGTGGCAAAACAAAAATGTAAAGATGGATAAGTACCGATGGTGGCCTTTGATACTGAAGGCCTAAAAAAATGGCATTGAGTAAGTCTTCCTCAACAGTATTTGGCGCTGTACTGCAGCACATTGGCACATTGGTGACTCGTAATCTGCGTTAGAATGAAAAGACTATTCATTTTTTGACTAAGCTTCATTCAATTTTTTGTCATTGTGTTCAATGTGATTTAATATATCCATCCATTCATTTTCTGATCCGCTTATCCTCACAAGGGTTGCGGGGCGTGAGCGCCTCTCCCGACCCAGGCAGAAGGTATAGACATCCAATACCTGCTGACGAGCCACAATAACATCATTGTCCTCTTCCCGGAGGTCAGGGGGCCCCTGGAGGCAAGGTACTTTCAGTGAAATGCCTTGGTACAATTTCGACTCTGCAGACATTTTATGGAAGGTGTATAGCAGGGCGAGGGAATATCCTGCCTGTTTCAAAGCTCTCCCGACTCCAACACACCTGATTCAATTGATCATGATCGTTTCAGGCTTCTCCAGAATTTGCTGCTGAGCTGATCGTTTGAATCAGGTGCGTTGGAGTAGGGAGGGATCGAAAGCGGGCAGGAAATGGCTCTCGAAGAACCAGAGTTCCCTTCCCCTGTTATAGAGCATTTTGGCTTTGGATACCAATATGCAGGAGTCATCAATGATGGTAACCATAGAAACAGGAAGTCAAAGTGAGATTTTACAGGTATATCACTCAAATGTTTTTAACACATTTTAGCAAAGTAGATGGAATGATAAAAGTGAGTGAATTACTCATTTTCTTTGATTATGCAATTTTTTTCCACTTCACACAAATGGGCCAAAAATGACAAAAAATGGCAGCCTCATGTAAAAAAAAGTCAATGTTTGCATTATTTTTGTTTGTATTTATTTGTTTAATTCCTTAGGGTACAGTATTGATATACTACTCAGGTCTTATTTATAAATAAACAGCTATATTTTACATAAATATAGCTGTTTATTTATAAATAAATAAATTATAGATATATTTAGAAAAAATATACGCGTTCATCGAAATTCAAAAATTTTCAATATACTTATTTTTGGAATTAAACCAATGTCCCTTCTATTGGGGCGGGGGGGGGGGGCGCACGGGGTTCGACTGGTCAGCGCGACCGCCTCACAGTGCATAGGCGCAGGGTTCAATTCCGGCTCCGGCCTTCCTGTGTGGGGTTTGCATGTTCTCTTCGTGTCTGCGTGGGTTCTCTCCAGGTACTCCGGTTTCCTCCTACATTCCAAAAACATGCATGGCAGGTTGATTGGGCACTTCAAATTGACCCTCGGTGTGATTGTGAGCGCACATAGTTGTTTGTCTATGTGTGCCCTGCAATTGGCTGGGAACCAGTTTAGGGCGTACCCTGCCTGCTGCCCGAAGACAGCTGGGATAGGCTCCAGCCTTGTGAGGATAAAGCGGATTGGAAAATGGATGGATGGATGTTCTTTCCTTGAATATATAGTTGGATTTAACATAAATACAGTGAGCAAATTGCATTTATGTGGTTTTTAAAAAGGACATTTCAAATTTGCCATCAAACCTGTGAACCGTCGTGTGCAATAATGTTGTTACGCTATTTACACGCACTTCAACAGTAATTGAACGAACTATTATGTTTGACTTTGACGTGATAAAAATGAGTTTGACACCCCTGTACGGAGCATTGTCCTTCTACTTGTTTTCAGCAGGGGGAGCCCATTCTACAGTCAACGCGCGCTCCCGCGACACACGCTTGGATGCTACTAGACAGGGAGCGCGCGCGCCGCCAACCATTGCGAGTGCGTCCTTGCGTGGGGACTCGTCGAGGAGCTGAGACGGCAGAGAGAGGCTCTCACGGCTTGGATGGACAGACCGCAGCTGGGGAGGAAAACGATGCCCGATCGCCGGTAGCCGGTGCTTCCTACCAGGACACGTTTACACATCTCAACCCGTTCACTTGAGCCACTACCCGGAAGATCTACGCTGCCGTCGAGTGGACTCACGATGGCTCAGAACGGAATCCTGGTTCTTCTCTGCATGCTGCTGGGCTCCGGGGAGTTCCAGGAACCGGAGCCGCGAAGGCTGCCACCCCCGCCGGCTAAGTTGGACTTCGGCTACTTGCCCGTCGGAGTGTACGAGACGGTGGCCCACTACGAACCTGGACCCATCGGCATTCTCTTCCACATGGTGCACACTTTCCTGTGCGTGGTGCAGCCCAACGACTTCCCGCAAGGTAAGCAAAGCCTACCAAGATACTTTTCAGTTACATTTTTAATTACTCGCTGTTTCTAGGAGTGAACGAGAGCCGCTTGAGACCATTGAGCCCTGGGTTCGATTCATTGAGCAAAGCAACTGTCTGTAAAATGTACAAGTCAAACATTTTGTGAAATGCATGCAAAAAAAGTTTACTATTTATAATGCGTCAGTGTGCAACCTGAGGCACGTGGTCTAAACGCGCCATTCTAGCTTCACATTAGTTGATTCCATAAAGGGGCACACCTTGAACCGGTTACCAGCCAATTGCAGGGCACACATAAACAACCATTCGCACTCACGGTCACACCTCGGGACAATTTAGAGCAGGGGTGCCCAACACGTCGATTACGATCGAATGGTAGCTCGCGGCCTGGCCCCAAGTCGATCGCAAGGGGTGTAGAGGGGAAAAAAAAGAACAACCCAAAACATTTTGTCTCTATGCGCGTGTTATTAATATGATGTATTTTTGTGTGAGTGCACATTGCACTCTTAGAATCCTATCAGTCTCACTTTCACAAAAAGTATTTAAAAATTAAAATACAATTTAAAAAAGCAGGTCACCTACGGTGGCGTGGGACCTGCATCACAGGAAGTTGTTAGCGATCAGTAGTCTACAATTGGAGAGCCGAGAGACACATTTTAAAACGGTACACGTGAGCTACGATAGTTAACACGCTACAAAAGTCCATCACATCCCTCCGCATTAGGTCTCAACAAAGGTAGGCAGTGATTTCCTTTTTACAAACCCGCCAACTCTTGTGTCTGCTTTATTTTTCTGTTTTGTTCATCTTAGGGACCGTTATGGCTGCTGCTCATCATGGCATGTGTGTTTAAGTGCGTGCGTGTATGCCTGCACGTGCGGTACCGGCTCGATCGCGGGAGGTTGGTTGTTTGCAAAGTAAATATTCAGTCAAGAAAGGTTGGACACCCCTGACTTCGAATGTTCCATTAACCCGCCATGCATGTTTTTGGAATGTGGGAGAAAAAACCCGGCTACCGGCGAAAACCCATGCCCCGGCATGGGCATAACAACCAAAATCCACCGAAGAAGGCCAGAATCGAACCCTCGCCTCTGCACTGTGAGGCCGACGTGCTAACCTTTCGATCACCATCTCGCCCTTCTTGCTTACAAATAATACGCTGTACCAAGAAGGCAGTGGCGGATGCTGGTCTGTCAAAGAGGGGAAGCTCAATTTTGGCCGACATCATAAAATGTGTCCGTTTATTTATACGTGAATTCTACTCTCCGTTCCTTTTCAAGAAAATGATCTGTGACCCTGTCACCAACAAGGCGTCTTTTCCAGGGACTTAATTAGTGTCCTACAACTACAGGAACTACAATAAAATCCACCAGAAATAAAAGATTAATTTGTCGCTAGTTGTTTACAACAAAGAGTGTCGCTAAGATGATTAGAAGTCTCCAGCTCAACTCAGAACAGAATGCGAATTGAAAAATTGCTCACATGGATGCCTACATCATAGAAAGGGTTCTGTCAGTCGTCATCTGTACGACTGAGAGCCTCCACAAGCATGGATGCCTACACTAAAAAGTCGGTGACTGGCTCATTTCGATGTCAATCAAACTGGCACACAGGCTCAGACAGATCATCCAATCTGATGCAGAAAAGCCTGGCGTCCGGTACCCTCCCACTGCCATCCAGTCCCAGAGACGCCGAGCGTCCGTGGGCGGGACAAAAACCAGCTTGTATCCAATGACTCGTCTCCGTTCAACGCATTGGGACAACCTACCCTGAACTCTCGAGACACTCGGCCTCCGGGCAGGAGACGCTCTGAGGACGCTCAGCGTCCACCGTTTAAAGCACAGCGAAGATGTGGGAATGAATGAGAAGGGAGTCGCGTCGTAACCAGTAAGAAGAAGCTGGTTCGGAACAAAAGTTGAGCGCGTTGTAGCGCGTATTTAGTCAATGACATGTACACACAATTGTATGTACACACCTATATTTGATCACTTATTTTTTGACATTTTAGGGGAAGCCGAGCTTCCCTTGCAGTCCGAGAGCAATCGCCACCGGTATATATGTATTTGCATTTATGTATATGTCTATATGTATTTCACATTGCATCAACTTTTGCCATCTTTTTCTTAGTTTGTGTTCGTGCCCTGTTGGTGTTGCATTAGCTCCTACGCATTTGTTTTGATATGTCTGTACATCCGATGTTTTTCCCAGCGTGTAGCCTCCATATCCCATGTTAACTTAATACTTAAAATTGAAATTGATAAAAATGTGTTGACATATCAGCATTTTTGTTTATTGTTAAGCTCCATATGCTATTTACCTTAGCATAAATCACTACAAAAAATTATATATACA